AAAAAAAAAAAAAAAAGAACTCTTCCGATTATTTAAAAGGGGTCCCAACAATCCAAACAGGACCCATGGTACATAAGATGTTAATAATAATCTCCAACGGCGAATTTGTTTAGTAGGGCTCAACGGGTGCACGGAAGCTGGCTCCAGCATATACTGCCTCTGCTCCAAGTTCCTCTTCAATCCTCAACAACTGCACCCATTTGTGAACATTAAATATTACTCTCTTGTATTTAAATCATGACAAAACCACAATTTCGTCAAGAATATTTATAACTACGATAAACCCTCAAAGTCGAACTCTTAAAAAACCAGAATTTCGTTAAAAGATAAAAGAACAACATATCTGTTTTTACAAATGCAACATTGCCTTTTGAGATATGCTTATATTCATGAAGAAAGTTTTCTAATTTATTTTATATTCCCAAATATATAATCAGATATTTACCTGGTTGTATTTTGCAAGACGCTCAGATCTGCATGGTGCACCAGTCTTAATTTGGCCCTGAAAACTCAGCAACCAAACGGAGATCAACTTGAAGTAATATAGAGAGTGAATGAAGTGGTGATATAAAATATTTCAATGTATAAAAAAGTTACCGTGGCCAATCCAACAGAAAGGTCAGCAATGAAAGTATCCTCTGTCTCTCCACTGTTTCCACAACCGAAAATTTTAATTATCCACCAAAAAAAACATAATTGACCGGAAAAACACAAGTCCTGCTCATCAAAGCACAATCAGGCATATATTTCTGACTAGGACAGTAGTTTTTCAAACCTGCGGTGACTGGCCATTATGCCCCAACCAGCACGCTTGGACATTCTTACAGCCTCGATACTCTCAGTCACAGACCCAATTTGGTTAACCTAGCGAAAGAAGTCAATGTTATTACTCCATTACAGACCCTTAAGTTACACATAGCATTGCCAAGGTTTAATTGAATGCAAAGAATATAGGGTCTATTATTAACAAAAACACAGCGCACCAACGGTTAGTTCAAGAAAGGATAGATGGCAGAGATTTATAGTTCTTAAAGAGAGAGCATTCACAAACTTGAGAGAGATGTAATTAGGTAAGCCGTAAGCCTAAGAAGCGTTATTTTATTTTACTTTTTGTAAAGGTACCCAATTATATATACAATACCTTCAGAAGAAGCGCATTGCAAGTCTTCTCATTGATTGCCTTCTCAACCCTCTGCAAGCAAATTAATAACCAGAAAGTTCAGTAAAAATATTATTAAAATTCTACAAGTAACAAATTAGCTCCTCTTATAAAAGCATCAATCACCTTGGGATTGGTGACGAGGAGATCATCCCCCACAATCTGTACTTGGGTCCCAATTTCTGCAGTGAGTTTCGCATAGGTCTCCCAATCATCCTGGTCAAAGGGGTCCTCAATAGATACAATAGGGTATTCAGATACAAATGACTTGTAGAGATCCTTGAGTTTGTCACCAGAGATCTTTTGCGAGCCATCATTGTTCTGCCAAAGACAACAAGATAGAATATGAATGTTAACAATTACTTGTATTAGATCATTATTTCAACCGATAATAGCAACTTGCCTCTTCCTTGAAGTTCAAATCATAAGTCTTGTCCGTTCCATAAAACTCAGAGGCAGCGACATCCATTCCGATGACAACCTAAAGCAGGAATAACAGTAATGTCATCTATTGCATCCATACATGACGAGTGCATGTAAGTGTAACTGAAGTACAAAGGGCGGAATAAGAAGACACAAACTCACCTTTCCGGTATAACCTGCTTTAGCAATAGCTGTTTTGAGCAATTCAAGTCCTTCCTTGTTCTCCTGGAGAAGCAGCAATCATGACGAGACATGAATATTTAGTTGTAGCAAAAAAAAAAA